GGTACCAAGGATTATGATATAAGCCACTTGGCCACTGGGTCCAGGTAGGGCCAGAAACTTCATCCTTAACCACTAAATTGCCTGTTTTTCAGCCCCGTATGGAGCACACAGAGCCAGGATGGTCAAACATGTGGCAGCTGAGATTGGGTGTGGTCACATGCCCCTTCTGTGGATAATCACCAAGCTGCCTCTTTGTCACAGCCTTGCAAGTTTTGCAGAGAAAACCAGGGTGGGATTTCACAGCTGACCAGTTATTTGAGCCTGGCAGACACATCAACCATGGTTGGTTGCTGCAGAATGATGCTGTTGCCTAGTTTCTCTGATAGTGCACCTCTGCTGGCTGAAATGCAAAACCACCAGTAAGATTACTGTTATGGTCCCTGTGAGCCCCATACATGTACTTTGTTTCTAACTGACCCCAGTTGTCTGATACTCCCAATGTTTCCCACAGGATAAGACTAGAGAGAACATCATGTGAAGAACTGCAAAATGGAAAAGAAAAGGCTGAATATACACTATCAACTCTCTCCTCTCTGAAGAAACTGTGAGTCTGGGGAAATTTTTTGTATGCAACACTGTGCTGGCTTAGGGAGGAGAAAAAGCATCAAATTAAAACTGTTCTTTTATCCTATATGTGTGATTATTCTCAGTTTTATGGTCAAAGAAGGTGTCACAGATTCAACCCCAAGTTGTAGAATCATTCACTAAGGTGTCCTTATCTAAGGATAGTTGTGAGTTTTGTTTTGTTTTGTTTTGTTTTACAAAGAGGGTGGGAATTAGCAGAATCACAGAATTCATATTCTGTCACATCAGACCCTAGAAACAGGCAAAGTAAAAGACTGATCCAGGATGAGTACAGTGCACAATGGCTCAGGCCTGTAACCCCAGCACTTTGGGAGTCCAAGGCAGGCATATCATGAGGTTAGGAGGCCGAGCCCATCCTGACTAACATGGTGAAATCCCTTCTGTACTAAACATACAAAAAATAAATAAATAAATAAACAAATAAATAAAATTAGCCAGGCCTGGTGGTGTATGGCTGTAGTCTCAGCTACTTGCAAGGTTGAGGCAGGGTATCTCCTGAACCTGAGAGGTAGAAGTCAAAGTGAGCTGAGATCATGCCACTGCACCTCAACCTGGGTGACAGAGTAAGACTTGATCTAAAAAAAAAAAATAGTGGTCCCAAGGGAAAAGTTTAAAAAGTTGGGGTGCTTCCATGCAGAAGTTGAAAGCTAGAACAAGCCAAGGGTTGGATTTAAGGAAGAACTCATGGGACTACTGAAAACCACCTCTTTGTCCTCTATGGAATGCAGGAAATAGTGAATGCTGAACTCCACTCCTTACTGATGTGGGCAGGTTATCAGCCAGAGATACATGTCTTAGTCTATTTGTGTTACCATAAAATAATAACAGACTGAAAAATTTGTAAAGAAAAGAGTTTTCATTGGCTCCTGGTTTTGCAGGCTGTTAAGATGTGTGGTGCCAGTGTCTGCATCTAGTGAGAGGCCCACGAGGCTTCCACTCAGGACAGAAGATAAAAGGAAAAAAGGTATACCACATGTGGAGAGAGGAAGTGAGAGAGGGGAGAAGGTATCAGTCCCTTTTCAACAACCTATTTGGAGGTAAGTGGCATTGTGAAAATTAATACAGCAGTAAACTCACTTATTAGCCTTGGCAAAGGTGCCAAGCAATTTATGAGTGATCCAGTCCCATGACACAAACACACACCTCCCACTAGGTGTCATTTACAGTGTGAGGGACTACGTTTCAACCTGAGGCTTGGAGGGACAAATGTCCAAACTATATCAATAGGCAAGTTTAAAAATCACGCAGCCCATTGTAAAACAATCTTTTTTCCTCTTTAGAATCCCGGGACTACAGAAAGGTAGGATTCATTAGCTTCCAGAGATTGGCAAGTTAGTATTCAAACTCTTAGGCAGCAACCTGAGAAGTCAGGGTAATAGTTGGGTAGTTTGACTTCTAGGAAAATTTAGAAGCTCAGTATATTGATAGAGTGAGTGACGATGAAGACTGATGAGAAATGCCTACGTGCCTGATCTCAGAGGACCTTGACAGATCCAAACGTCAGGAGAATTAGCAGGAAGATATGTGGGCAGAAGCTACAAAAGTCAAGGTGTGGCTGGGTGCAGTGGCTCATGCCTGTAATCCCAGCACTTTGGGAGGCCAAAGCAGGTGAGTCACCTTAGGTCAGGAGTTTGAGACCAGCCTGACCAACATGGTGAAAACTTGTCTCTACTAAAATATACGGAAGTCAGTTGGCATGGTGGCAGGTGCCTGTAATCCTAGCTACTCAGGAGGCTGAGGTAGGGAAATCACTTGAGCCTGGGAGGCAGTGGTTGCAGTGAACTGACATTGTGCTATTGCATTCCAGCCTAGGTGAGAGAGCAGAAATCCGTCTCAAAAGAAAAAAAGGAAAAAAGAACTTCAGGCATTAGATATATAATCTAAGTTCTTCGAGGTACAAAGTGGCAGCTGAGCTTCATTGACTGCTTGAGATCCAGTAAGCCAGGAGGAAACAGTTTCAGAAGTACTTGAATGTCTATTTAAACCCCTTTTTTATCTTGGAGGTCGTAGTAGAGTTATCAATACCAGTCTGTGTTAGAATCCAGAGATAGGCAAGTTAGGAATCACTTCATTGAGAAGCAGCTGTAAGAGTTGGGGCATTACACATGTGGATTAATACTTCAGTCCTCTGGGAGAAGTTGTGAAATAACAGTTCTTTGTTGATTCTAGGGCACTGTGTGAGACATAAACTCTAGAAGACGACTATGATTCAGTTTTTCTTACCTCTTTTTAAGTGAGTATTTTCATAATAATTTGTGCAAGAGTATCGCAACTAGTTTCTGAGTTTATCTCATAGGGAATTAATGTGGGTATGGCTTTTAATTTGTTGCATTTGTGGATGGAGGAACAAATTAGAGCCTCCTGTTTTATCACTTTTTTGGAGATACCCTTTTTATTAATTTTTTTCTTATTTTTAAAAATTTGGACATAACAGTTGTAGATACTTATGGCATATGTACAATATTCTGATACAAGCAATGTGTCCTGGTAATGAAGGGATCAAAGAGGGGATGACCATAGCTTAAATTATGGTTGTTTAGAAGGAATAAGATCTAGTGTTCAGTAGCACAGGACAAGTACACTTAATAATGATTTATTGTATATCTCAAAAGAATTAAAGGAGAAAAGATGGATTGCCACTCATACCAAGAATTGATATTCCAGACTAAGTGGCTCACTACCATAATCACAATGCTTTGGAAGGCCAAGGAAGGAGGATCACTTAAGCCTGGAAGTTTGAGACCAGCCTGAACAATATATCCAAATGAAAATCATTATCCCTACTACACACACACAAACACAAACACAAAAGCTGGGCACGGTGGTGTGTGTCTGTAATTCCAGCTACTTGGGAGGCTGAAATGGAAGGCTTGCACATTTGAACCCAGGAGTTCAAGGCTAGTGTGCTACAATGGTGGTACAGTCAGGGCAGGACAACAGAGTAAGACCCTGTCTCTAAAAAAGAAAGGATAAGTGCTTTAACTGAAGGATACCCTATTTATTATTTATTTGTTTGTTGATTTATATAATTATTTTTGAGTTGGAGTCTTGCTCTGTCACCCAGGCTAAAGTGCATGGTGCAGTATTGGCTCACTGCAGCCTTGACCTCCGAGGTTCAAATGATTCTCCTGCCTGAGCCTCCCAACTAATTGTAACATATTACAGGCATTCACCACAACACCCAGCTAATTTTTGTGTTTTGGGTAGAGATGGGATTTCATGGTGTTGGCCAGCCTGGTCTTCAACTCGTGACCTAAAGATATCTGCAAGCCTTGGCCTCCCCAATGTTGGAATTAAAGACCTGAGCCATCAAACCTGGACAGTAAGATAAACAAGACTAGGGAGTTTTATCTTTTCACTTCATGCTTACAATCCTACTTTACCGGTGAATGAAAACACAATTTCATAACGTGACTAACTCACTTGAACATAAAAGTTGGTAACTTCTCCCTTAAAAATTACTTGCGGCCAGGCGCGGTGGCTCAAGCCTGTAATCCCAGCACTTTGGGAGGCCGAGACGGGCGGATCACTAGGTCAGCCGATCGAGACCATCCTGGCTAACACGGTGAAACCCTGTCTCTACTAAAAAATACAAAAAACTAGCCGGGCGAAGTGGCGGGCGCCTGTAGTCCCGGCTACTGGGGAGGCTGAGGCAGGAGAATGGCGTGAACCCGGGAGGCGGAGCTTGCAGTGAGCTGAGATCCGGCCACTGCCCTCCAGCCTGGGCGACAGAGCGAGACTCCGTCTCAAAAAAAAAAAAAAAAAATTATTTGCACCCTTACCCTATAAAAAGTGATGATCTTGTCAAAATTTTCTCAAGAAAATACTTTCTCCTTGCAGACTGGTCTGTCAATTGTAAGAATTACGGACTGTAAAACTTCTGCAACGTCATGAATTTTATTTCTTTAGGTTGTTTAATCAGGAAACTTAATTGGTTTAGTTGTTTAAGTCCAAATCTTTTTATTTTTATCATTTGATGATTTCTTAAACCCTTAAGCAACTCCATCTTAAACTTTATGCTGTTGTTTATGTTCTATACACTTCACTTTAACAAAAGTATGAGGTTTATAGCATTTCCATTCATATCACCAATTAAATCTGATAGGCTGAGAGTGGTTGCTCATGCCTGTAATCGTAGCACTTTGGGAGTCTGAGGAGGGTGGATCAGGATTTTGAGAACAGACTGGCAAACATAGTGAAACATTGTCTGTACGGAAAATACAAAAAATTAGCCAGAGGTGGTGCACACATGTCTAATACCGATTACTTAGGATGCTGAGGCAAGAGAATAGCTTGGACCCAGAAGGCAGAGAGTGCAGTAAGCCAAGATGGAGCCACTGCACCCCAGCTTGGGGAACAAAGCTACACTCCATCTAAAAAACAATTGATTAAATCCCAACTATTTTATATTATTCCTATTTGCAAAAACTTATTACTAAACCATTACTTGCAACAACCATTGTCAATGTGCTCATGACCACAGGAATAAAAATCACCACAGCTCGTTGAGTAACTCTCCTGACTTCTGCCATATCTATCTTGTGTATTGTTATAATCATGTTGGTTGCTTCCACCATGAGACAACCAGGGCCCTTGTGCAGGTGGTGCACCATGAAAGTTCCCTGCAGAGTTGATAAAATAATACATTGGACTACCTTTAAACATTTTTTACTGCTATCACTAATGCATGAATAAGTTAAAGTACTATTTGGAAATATCTACTTTCCTCTGCCTTTGTTGACAGGATATTAATTATGCCTGCAATAGTCACAAGGTTTCATTAGAAAGAAGTATAAGAGTAGTATTTGAAGCTTAACAAATTTAATTCTAAAGTAAATGTTGAGTCACATTTTCTGAACATGAACTGAAGTTCTCACCTTCATATCATTCCCTATGCTTTATACTGTTAAGAATACTCAATATTTAAACATGTTATATTTTTCCTTTACAATTTTCCTTAGAATTTCATTAAAATAATAGTCTGTTCTATTAAATTTTTTAATTTACAAATCCATTCTGGACCCTTACAATATCCCTGAAATGCTTCTCTGTAAGAAATTCCACTTGGATCTTCAGAATAATCTCTACCACCGGGCCTTACTGTAGCCATCACAATAACCAAATTGAAAAAAGAAATTCTTAATGTCAGAAGAAATCTATTTGACAAATCTAGGAAATGTTATAGTACTGACATCCTCCAGAGAAATGTTCATCCCGACTAGAATGACCATAATCACAGTATGCATGGTCTCTAGATGGTGCAGCGTAATCCAATTTTCTCAGGAAAGTGGACGATTTCTGTGTGCATAAGTTTAAGGAACAAATTTTAAAGTTTCAACTTCTAGCATCCAAAACATAAATAACTTACAGCTTAAAAAAATTTAAAGAACCAAACATCTAAATAGATATTTCTCCAAATAAAATAGGCAAATGCCCAAAAAGCACATGGAACAGATACTCATAATCTGTGATTCAGCAAATGCATTTCAAATCCAAAGTGAGATACCAGACTTCACACACACACTAGAATGACAATAAATTTTAAGAAGCAGGAAATAGCAAGTGTTTGACAGGATGCAGATAAACTGGAACCCTGATACAATGCTAGTTGCAATGGAAAATGATGCAGTTGCTATGGAGAAATATGGTGGTTCCTCAATAAAACAAACATAATTATCATAGGACCAAGAATTCCACTGTATATACACCCAGAATTGAATAAGTGTACTCAAACAAATACAGGAGCATAGAAACACTGTGGTGGAAACAACCCAAATAAAATAATGGGTTAACAGCTTGTGGAAAGAGTGAAGGGCTATGATGTAAATAAAACTTCTGGACATCATGCAAAAGGAAAGGAGACAGATACAAAAAGTCATGTAGGTTACAGGAGAACCTCTTATAGTTTGAAAGAGCAACAATGTTGTAATCTCCCCTTTCATAGAATTGCTTATTGCAGTAAAAGTAAATCTTGGCCATCATTAGAAAATATTCTCTAGTACATTTTAATTTGTCAACACTTAAGATAAAGCCAAGCATTTAGAGATAAATGAGATAAAGGATAACTTTTATGTAAAAATTTAGTATGGGGTTGTTCAAAGGTAAAAGTATTTGTGTGTGTGAGATGAACTGAATAAGAAGAGAAAATTTTCCTTCTTCAACTGAGAAAGTACAATGTATGTAAACCTAAAGTCTGTCAAGTTTGGTGGTTTTACATGTTTTCCCTGTGTCATTGGTAGTCATCAGTAATTCATATGAAAAGGAAAATAATCACTAAGTAGTTATTAACCATTACAAATGAACTTTTACTAAAGAATTGATGTCTGCCTTCAGCTACATTACGACTAGCCTTGCAGGAGCCATGGGATTATCCAAAGCCATAAGAATATTCACAGTGTCACGACTGTCTAGTAATTTAGGGAACAAAGGAATAATTGTAGAAGTTGTTTGGGAAGAGAATATAGTGTTTCAGACTTGGTGATCTTTACATTATGTTCCATCATTTTAATATTAAAGGTTCCATGTCACATGAAAAAGAGAATTATGGAGGTCCTCCATGCAGAGAGCTAACCTCTTCCTGGATAAATGACCATATGTCACCAAGAGATGATGGTTATGCAACTAAGGAGAGGTAAAGGGAAAAAACAAAACAAAACAAAACAAAAAATAGTTGATTTATTTTGTTGTTGTGAAGAAATTCACATAACAAAATTAAATATTATAATGTAAACAGTTAAGTAGCATTAAGTGTATTCTGTTTTGGACAGTAACTACCTGCACTGAATTCGAAAACATTTTCATGACTCCAAACTAAAACTCCAGCTACAAGTTAAGCTTTCATTTTCTCCTTCCCTCAGCTGCTAGCAAACACCAATCTGTGTTCTGCCTCTGACCTTACCTGTTGTGGACATTTAATGTTAATGGGCTCAAATTTTCTCTCGTTGTTCAGTTCATCTCACACACAAATACTGTTACCTTCAAACAACCACATACTAAATTTTCACATAAAAGTTCTCCTTTACCTCTAAATGGTTGGCTTTATCTTAAATGTTGACAAATTAACATGTACTAGACAGTAATTTCTAATGATGGCCAAGATTTGCTTTTATTGCAATAAGCAATTCTATGAAAGGGGAGATTACAACATTGTTACTCTTTCAAAATAGAAGAGGTTCTCCTATAATGTATCCTTAATGTGCTCTTAGTTAGAGGTCAGCCTTTCACCTTTGATATGTTCGCTGGCTAATTTTCCAATGGAAATGTGTTAGCTTGTGTATCCTGAAGTCAATAAATACCTAACTTCACCAATACTCTACATATGAAATGTAAAGTTGAAAATGACAGTTTTCAATTTCCACCATATTAGGATGGAAAACTAAGTAAGAATTTTAATTTGTTCTGCTTAAACTTCTTTGTTAAGAACTTTTATTTATTGTCTTGTTTTCTGCTGTAGAGTCTGCAATCTTAAAATTCTCCTTCTCAAAATATTACTTCTATTCAATCCTACTGCTCACATCATATTCTTTAGTTCTAAATTCTCTCCTCAAGTAATTTCAAAACTTACACTACGATCTCGTGTTAATGTTTAAACATCCAGGTACAATATTAATTATTGATTTATGTCCCCTTATATTTCACAACTCTGCACTTCTGTGATATCCACTTAATTTAAGAATATTGGACTCCTTCATATCTACCTTTCAGGCCTTAAATTTATTTTTAAATAACATTTAAATCCAGGGATGCCTTTTCTGCTAAATGCTCTTGTATTTCTTTTGATTCTTTATATAAGCCTAAGAATGCCTTGCACATAAGCATTTGAATTCTCAGAAGCTGGAAGGCCATGCTTTGTGGCTTACACTGTGAGCCAATGTGGAAGGCTGAGGCAGCTGCGCTGCTTGAGCCTCAGGCTTTAATGTCAGTTTTGACAATATGTGGTGAGATCCTCTCTACAAAAATATAGGAAAAAAAAGTAGCTAAGTGTAGTGGTGCATGCCGGTAGTTGCAGAAACTCTGGAGGCTGAAATAGGAGAATTAATTTAGTCCAGGAATCTGAAGCTGTAGTAAGCCATCATCTCCCCTGTGCACCATGACCTGGTAGGAGCAAGACTCCAACCCAGCAAATAAACTGACAAAGCAATTTTAAGACTAAGACACAAGGGGATCATTATCAGGAGACCTAGGACATGGAAGAATTCATAAGATGAAGAAGGCTACAATCAAATAATACTACTAGGAAAACTTTCAAAAATTAAGGGGAACCTTCTAGCAACACAGGATGAAAAGGAATGTCGGCCTCACTCTAATCACTTCTTTGATCTGCAGTGACAAGCTCAAATATATTTCTACCATAAATCTGAAATGCACCTAGTGAAATAGAAACCACAATAAAAGGTGGAGGGGGACGCAATATGGCTGAACAGCTCCAGCCTCCGGCTGCCAGCATGAGCAACACAGAAGACAGGTGATTTCTGCATTTTCAACTGAGGTACCGGGTTCATCTCACTGGGGCATGCCGGACAGTCGATGCTGGTCTGTGAATGTAGCCCAGCCAGTGAGAGCTGAAGCAGGGCAAGGCATCACCTCACCTAGGAAGTACAAGGGGGAAGGAAATTCCTTTTCCTAGCCAAGGGAAATTGAGACACACATACCTGGAAAATCTGGTAACTCCCACCTTAATACTGCATTTTACCAAGGGTCTTAGCAAACAGAACACCAGGAGATTATATCCCACACCTGGCTCAGGGGGTCCCATGCCTAGGGAGCCTCCCTCATTGCTAGCACAGCAGTCTGAGATCTAACTGAAAGGCAGCAGCAAGGTTGGGAGAGGAGCACCCACCATTGCTGAGACTTAAGTAGGTAAACAAAGCCCCCAGGAAGCTCGAATTGTGTGGAGCCCACCTCAGCTCAAGGAGGCCTGCCTGCCTCTGTAGACTACACCTCTAGGGACAGGGCATAGCTAAATAAAAAGCAGTAGAACTTCTGAAGATGTAAAAGACCCTGTCTGACAGCTTTGAAGAGAGCACTGGTTCTCCCAGCATGGAGGTTGAGATCTGAGATTGGACAGACTGCCTGGTCAAGTGGGTCCCTGACCCCTGAGTAGCCTAATGGGAGACATCCTCCACTAGGTGCAGACTGACACCTCACACCTTACACAGCTGGGTACACCCCTGAGATGAAGCTTCCAGAGCAAGAATCAGATGGCAACACTCACTGTTCTGCAGTATTCTATTTCTGCAGCCTCCGCTGCTGATACCCAGGGAAACAGCGTATCGAGTGGACCTCAAGCAAGCTCCAACAGATCTGCAGCTAAGGGTCCTGACTGTTAGAAGGAAAACTAACAAACAGAAAGGACACCCACACCAAAACCCCATCAGTATGTCACCATGATCAAAGACCAAAGGCAGATAAAACCACAAAGATGGGGAAAAAGCAGTGCAGAAAAGCTGGAAATTCAAAAAATCAGAGTGCATCTCCCACTCTAAAGGAACACAGCACATCACCAGGAATGGAACAAAGCTGGATGGAAAATTGACAAGTTGAGAGAAGTCTTCAGTTGATCAAACTTCTCAGAGCTAAAGGGGGAACTACATAACCCGCTCAAAGAAACTAGAAACCCTGAAAAGAAATGGATGAATGGATAAATAGAAAAATCAACTCAGAGAAGACCTAAAAAGAACTGATAGAGATGAAAACCAAGACACGAGAAATACATGACAAATGCACAAGCTTTAGTAACTGATTCGATCAACTGGAAGAAAGAGTATCAGTGATTGAAGATCAAATGAATGAAATGAAGTGAGAACAGAAGTGCAGAGAAAAAAGAGTAAAAAGAAATGAACAAAGCCTCCAAGATATATGGGATTATGTGAAAAGACCAAATCTATGTCTGTTTGGTGTGCCTGAAAGTGACGGGGAAAATGAAAAAAACTTGGAAAACACTCTTCAGGATATCATCCAAGAGAACTTCCCCAACCTAGTAAGGCAGGCCAACATTCAAATTTAGGAAATATAGAGAATGCCACGAAGATATTCCTCGAGAAGAGCAACTCCAAGATACATCATTATCAGATTCACCGAAGTTGAAATGAAGGAAAACATGTTAAGGGCAGCCAGAGAGAAATGTCAGGTTATCCACAAAGGGAAGCACATCAGACTAAGAGCAGATTCTCTCAGCAGAAACTCTCCAAGCCAGAAGAGAGTGGGGGCCAATATTCAACGTTCTTAAAGAAAATAAATTTCAACCCAGAATTTCATATCCAGCCAAACTAAGTTTCA